GATCCGCCCCTACAATCACACATAGTCCACCACATAAGTCTTACAAGCCCAAATATAAATAGAAGTACGGTACGAGATAACGATCATGACACAAGACCAAGTCCATACATAAATGAGACATATATAAATGAGGCGATCACATATGTTCTCCCCCTTTGGTGTCAAGCACCAAAAAGAAAGATGACGTCAAACAAAGCGCCTCACTCGTCGTAGTCGTCGTCGCCCTCCTCCTAGATCTCACTGTGCACCTGTCTGCCTGAAGTAAACGGGACGGCGTGTCGGAGGGCGGGCGACAAGGGCGGGGGAAGCGGAGGACTAGAACTGCAAAAATTATGATGCAATTATACATGGTGCTGATATATAAAAATAATAAACTAACACGGTTAATTCATACCTGTAGGTGGCAGTGCGGAATGTCGCCAAGCACGCAGCGGCGGACTCGGCAGACCATTGGGCATCCTCCAGCCTAGAGTGTGCCGCCTCGGTCCTCTCCTGCTCTGACTCTAACAGGTTCAGCTCATCTTGGGCTGTGTAGTAGTCTGGGGAGCTGTCTGCAGCCGGAGCCGAGGACGCGTCTTCAGAACCACGTTGGAGCCGGCGAAGATGCCAGCCCCTCGGTGGACCGCCGGAGAGGAGGGGCCGTCGGGACCACTTCCACTGCTCGTAGTAGTGTAGTAGTGTAATGCAGTCGCTAGGAAGAAGATTGCGAGCACGAAGACCCCGAAGCCGATGAGCAAGATATCCACGAGTTTTGAGATGTGCCTACGATGCGTGCTTTCCTTCCATAAAAAAAGTGAGATGATTGATGCTCGGGTACTCTTTTAAAAAAAATGCACATATCTTAAAGCAAATATAACTAATTAACCATTCTACTAATTACAACAAAATTGGTATTATGTATCGCTATAAAAAAAAGTGTAGGTCCACCTCTTCTTCTCCCTCACCCTCCCCATATTTCCATTGATGCACCAGCTGTAGGGGGGGCTTGAGCCCCCCAGCCCCCTGTAGATCCGCCCCTGCAATCACACATAGTCCACCACATAAGTCTTACAAGCCCAAATATAAATAGAAGTACGGTACGAGATAACGATCATGACACAAGACCAAGTCCATACATAAATGAGACATATATAAATGAGGCGATCACATATGTTCTCCCCCTTTGGTGTCAAGCACCAAAAAGAAAGATGACGTCAAACAAAGCGCCTCACTCGTCAGTAGTCGTCGTCGCCTCCTCCTAGATCTCACTGTGCACTCTGCCCTTTGAAGTAAACGGGACGGCGTGTCGGAGGGCGGGGCGACAAGGCGGGGAAGCGGAGGACTAGAACTGCAAAAATTATGATGCAATTATACATGGTGCTGATATATAAAAATAATAAACTAACACGGTTAATTCATACCTGTAGGTGGCAGTGCGGAATGTCGCCAAGCACGCAGCGGCGGACTCGGCAGACCATTGGGCATCCTCCAGCCTAGAGTGTGCCGCCTCGGTCCTCTCCTGCTCTGACTCTAACAGGTTCAGCTCATCTTGGGCTGTGTAGTAGTCTGGGGAGCTGTCTGCAGCCGGAGCCGAGGACGCGTCTTCAGAACCACGTTGGAGCCGGCGAAGATGCCAGCCCCTCGGTGGACCGCCGGAGAGGAGGGGCCGTCGGGACCACTTCCACTGCTCGTAGTAGTGTAGTAGTGTAATGCAGTCGCTAGGAAGAAGATTGCGAGCACGAAGACCCCGAAGCCGATGAGCAAGATATCCACGAGTTTTGAGATGTGCCTACGATGCGTGCTTTCCTTCCATAAAAAAAGTGAGATGATTGATGCTCGGGTACTCTTTTAAAAAAAATGCACATATCTTAAAGCAAATATAACTAATTAACCATTCTACTAATTACAACAAAATTGGTATTATGTATCGCTATAAAAAAAAGTGTAGGTCCACCTCTTCTTCTCCCGCACCCTCCCCATATTTCCATTGATGCACCAGCTATAGGGGGGCTTGAGCCCCCCAGCCCCCCTGTAGATCCGCCCCTGCAATCACACATAGTCCACCACATAAGTCTTACAAGCCCAAATATAAATAGAAGTACAGTACAAGATAACGATCATGACACAAGACCAAGTCCATACATAAATGAGACATATATAAATGAGGCGATCGCATATGTTCTCCCCCTTTGGTGTCGAGCACCAAAAAGAAAGATGGCGTCAAACAAAGTGCCTCACTCGTCGTAGTCGTCGTCGCCCTCCTCCTGGATCTCACTATGCACCTATCTGCCTGAAGTCAACGGGACGGTGTGTCGGAGGGCGGGCGACAAGGGCACGGGCAGCGGAGGACTAGAACTGCAAAAATTATGATGCAATTATACATGGTGCTGATATATAAAAATAATAAACTAACATGGTTAATTCATACCTGTAGGTGGCAGTGTGGAAAGTCGCCAAGCACGCAGCGGCGGACTCGGCAGACCATTGGGCATCCTCCAGCCTAGAGTGTGCCGCCTCGGTCCTCTCCTGCTCTGACTCTGACAGGTTCAGCTCACCTTTGGCTGTGTAGTAGTCTGGGGAGCTGTCTACAGCCGGAGACGAGGACGCGTCTTCAGAACAACGTTGGAGCCGGTGAAGATGCCAGCCCCTTGGTGGACCACCGGAGAGGAGGGGACGTCGGGACCACTTCCATTGCTCGTAGTAGTGTAGTAGTGTAATGCAGTCACTAGGAAGAAGACTGCGAGCACGAAGACCCCGAAGCCGATGAGCGTGATCTCCATGAGTTTTGAGATGTGCCTATGATGCGTGGTTTCCTTCAATAAAAAAAGTGAGATGATAGATGCTCGGGTACTCTTTTTAAAAAAATGCACATATCTTAAAGCAAATATAACTAATTATCCATTCTACTAATTACAACAAAATCGGTATTATGTATCGCTATAAAAAAAAGTGTAGGTCCACCTCTTCTTCTCCCTCACCCTCCCCATATTTCCATTGATGCACCAGCTGTAGGGGGGGCTTGAGCCCCCCAGCCCCCTGTAGATCCGCCCCTGCAATCACACATAGTCCACCACATAAGTCTTACAAGCCCAAATATAAATAGAAGTACGGTACGAGATAATGATCATGACAGAAGACTAAGTCCATACATAAATGAGACATGTATAAATGAGGCGATCACATATGTTCTCCCCCTTTGGTGTCAAGCACCAAAAAGAAAGATGGCGTCAAACAAAGCGCCTCACTCGTCGTAGTCGTCGTCGCCCTCCTCCTGGATCTCACTGTTCACCTGTCTACCTGAAGTCAACGGTGCGGCGTGTCAAAGGGTGGGCGACGAGGGCGGGGGCAGCGGAGGACTAGAACTGCAAAAATTATGATGCAAATATACATGGTGCTGATATATAAAAATAATAAACTAACACGGTTAATTCATACATGTAAGTGGCAGTGCGAAAAGTCGCCAAGCACGCAGCGGCGGACTCTGCAAACCATTGGGCATCCTCCAGCCTAGAGTGTGCCACCACGGTCCTCTTCTGCTCTGACTCTGACAGGTTCAGCTCACCTTCGGCTGTGTAGTAGTCTGGGGAGCTATCTACATCCGAAGCTGAGGACGTGTCTTTAGAACCACGTTGTAGCTGGCGAAGATGCCAGCCCCTCGGTGGACCGCCGAAGAAAAGGGGTCATCGGGACCTCTTCCATTGCTCATAGTAGTGTAATGAAGTTGCTAGGAAGAAGACAGCGAGCACGAGGATCTCGAAGCCGATGAGCAAGATCTCCACGAGTTTTGAGATGTGCCTATGAGGCGTTCTTTCCTTCAATAAAAAAAGTGAGATGATGGATGCTCGGGAACTCTCTTTTTTAAAAATGCACATATCTTAAAGCAAATATAACTAATTATCCATTCTACTAATTACAACAAAATTGGTATTATGTATCGCTATAAAAAAAGTGTAGGTCCACCTCTTCTTCTCCCACACCCTCTCCATATTTCCATTGATGCACCAGCTGTAGGGGGGGCTTGAGCCCCCCAACCCCCCTGTAGTTCCGCCCCTGCAATCACACATAGTCCACATAAGTCTTACAAGCCCAAATATAAATAGAAGTACGGTACGAGATAACGATCATGACACAAGACCAAGTCCATACATAAATGAGACATATATAAATGAGGCGATCACATATGTTCTCCCCCTTTGGTGTCAAGCACCAAAAAGAAAGATGGCGTCAAACAAAGTGCCTCACTCGTCGTAGTCGTCGTCGCCCTCCTCCTGGATCTCACTGTGCACCTGTCTGCCTGAAGTCAACGGGACGGCATGTCGGAGGGCGGGCGACGAGGGCAGGGGTAGAGGAGGACTAGCACTACAAAAATTATGATGCAATTATACATGGTGCTGATATATAAAAATAATAAACTAACACGGTTAATTCATACCTGTAGTTGGCAGTGTGGAAAGTCGCCAAGCACGCAGCGGCGGACTCGGCAGACCATTGGGCATCCTCCTGCCTAGAGTGTGCCGCCTCGGTCCTCTCCTACTCTGACTCTGACAGGTTCAGCTCACCTTCGGCTGTGTAGTAGTCTGGGGAGCTGTATGCAGCCGGAGCCGAGGACGCGTCTTCAGAACCACGTTGGAGCTGGCGAAGATGCCAGCCCCTCGGTGGACCGCCGGAGAGAAGGGGCCATCAGGACCTCTTCCATTGCTCGTAGTAGTGTAATGCAGTCGCTAGGAAGAAGACTGTGAGCGCGAAGACCCCGAAGCCGATGAGCAAGATCTCCACGAGTTTTGAGATGTGCCTATGAGGCGTTCTTTCCTTCAATAAAAAGGTGAGATGATGGATGCTCGGGTACTCTTTTTTTTTTAAATGCACATATCTTAAAGCCTATATAACTAATTAACCATTCTACTAATTACAACAAAATCGGTATTATGTATCGCTATAGCTTCTATAGGTTTCGAGAAGCTAGGCGAAAATCACTTTCTATTCACCTTTATCCAGGGTTTGGGGAAGAGAAACCCTAGATGATGGCCCCTGGATATTCGACAAAGGATCTGGTGGTGATAGTGGATTATGATGGTGTAAAAATCCTAGATGAGATCGAGTTTGTTTCCATCCCAATCTTGGTTTGTGTGATGAAGATGCCCCTGGGACTTGTGACGAAACAAGCTAGGGATGTCATTAGTGGGATGATCGAAGAGGAGGTGTTGGAGGTGGATGCAGATGAGAATGATCAGGCAGTGGGAGAGTGTATGAGGATTAAGATCAAGTTGGATATCCGTGAACCGCTGATGCGAGGTGTGACCCTGGATGTTGGGAAGGAGGATGAGAAACGCCTCTAGTGCCCTCTAGAGTATAAATATCTTCTAGACTTTTGCTATACGAGTGGCTTGATAGGACACATGGGTCATGTGTGTGAGGTGAAGTTAGCAAAAGGGGAGAGTCAACAGTTTAGCAAGAAAATTTGATTTATCCTGGAGAATAGGAAGTTCAGTGAGGAGCTAGGTGGAAGGTTTGGAGGATCAAAGTTGGGCTTGCCATTGAGACTACAGACGGGGAGCAGAGGGAGTGGTGGTAGCTCTAGAGGTGGGGTAGCGGTAGCAGGCTCGACATTGATGGTCCGTCCTAGAGGAAGAAGGGATGGAAGATCATGGAAAGGGAGTGAGTTGGGGAGAGGACCAGGATGGAGGTTACTAGTCCTCTTAAGGACACATCCTTGCAAAGAAGATCAGGGGAAGTGAAGAAAGCCCTTTCTTTTGAGGACGGTAGCCACAAAAATCAAACAAGGGTTTCAAATTAGATGGCGGTGGAACAGGCTATGGGGGTGGATAGGTGGCAATATCCCATGATGTTAATGCGCATAGTGCCATGCACATCGATCGCTGAGATGGTCAAGGGGTAAGAATGGGCAAGAGGAGGTGGGGGGCAGAAATCGAGCCTTCGTTCATTCAAAAGGCTTCCGCAATCTGCAAACAAATCATCAAGAGCAAGGGAAGGGAAGGTAGTGGACTAAAGAAAGAGAGGCATTGAGGAGGAGTCTGAGATGGAGGTAGAGGAGCTACATCAAGTAAAGAAAAGCAGGAGGGAGAAAATAGTTGCATAACCCCATTCTAAAGCTAGACTGGCGGATCAGTCATGCAAGGCGCAATGAAGCTAATGGTGTGGAACTGTCAGGGCCTCGACAACTCCTTAGTAGTGCATGGGCTTCTACGATGCCAGAAGTCCATTCAGGTAGACATTCTATTTCTGTCTGAAACAAGAATGGAAGAGAGAAATATGGTGAGCATTAGGTTTTCTCTAGGCCTATCAAATATGGCGGTGGTAATAGGGGATGGAAAAGAAGGGAACTGTTGTGTTATGGAGGAAGGGAGTAATTGTGATTTTGAGGAACTACTCGATAAATCACATTGATGTGGATGTGGTGGAAGATGATGGGTTCTCTTGACGGTTCATAGGCGTCTATGGAGAACCAAAAATGGAGTTAAAGCGCCGCACTTGTTTCGGTGTTTCGAACCGCTGACTAGTAAATTTGTGTTTACGTGTCTGGCCCGGATGGTGTGCTCGGAGGGCACAAGGGTTTATACTGGTTTGGGCGGAATGTCCCTATGTCCAGTTTGAGGCTGCTCGTGTTACCGGCACTTGTTTGTAGTATGGGTTACAAACGGACGAGAGAGGAAGAAGGTCCCAAGTCTCTGATGAAAGGATCGAATAAAGTTGAGCCTACTTGAGCTCGTTCAGCCCTTATTGCGTTGTTGCCTGCCCTTGATGGGGCATCCTGCTTCCCCTTTTATAGATGAAGGGGAAGGCGCAGGTTACACGAGAGAAAGAGATAGAGAGAGAGAAAAGCGAAAAGGAAGAAGGCCTCCGGGGTATGGCGCCCATCATCTCCTTTACATGGGTCCCAATAGTCCTATAGATGATGACAGGGATGGCTCCACGTCATGACCCTGTTCATCACTGGCGCTATCGCGGGCGTCGTCGGCTGGTCGTGGTGCTCCATTCCATCCCGGTGGGCGGCTTGGTTAGCAGACACTCCCGTCGGAAGTTGTACGGGGATTAGGTGGCACAGCGCTGGCATGCCCGACACTATTGGCGATGTGAGTCCTTAGGTATGGCCCATCGTGGCCGTGGGCCATGTCAAGACGCGCCTACTCCTTTTCCGGTGTTAGAAGTTTGACCCTGGGTTCGTACTCTTAGACCCGTAGTGGTTGGAGGCGGTACGGACCCCCGTCGAGCGAGGCAGAAACCCCCTTCGAGGGGTCTAACGAGGTGAGGTCCGCTCTATAGGGGTCGGGCGAGATAGAGCCCGCACCCTCAGAGTCAGAGCTTGCACCCTCAGGGTCGGGCGAGACGGAGCCTGTGCCCTCGGGGTCAAACGTGATGGAGCCCACGCCCGAGGGGTCTAGCGAGACAGAGCCCGCGCCCAAGGGGTCTGGCGAGATGAAGCCCACGCCCGAGGGGTCGGGTGACCCGGATCCTGCGCCCTCTAGGTCAGGCGAGACGGAGCCTGTATCTTCGGGGTTGGGCGAGGCCAAAATACACTCTTGACCATCCGGGCGAATTAGCGTTCACGGCCATCAGCTTCCTTCTTTTGGGTATCCCTAATATTGATACTATACAACTTTGAAAGCTGTTGCATGACCTGAATGTGTTGTGTTCCATGTCGTGGTTGTGTACCAGGGATTTTAATGAGATCCTTCGTCATCACAAGGAAGAAGGTGGAGCACCATGCTCACAAGCTTGTCCAGATAAGTTCGAGGAAGTGTTGGAGGATTGCGAGCTGTTAGACTTGGGGTTCACAGGGAATATTTTCACCTGGCAGAATCATCATCAAAGAAGTGATGATTACATTAAGGAGAGGCTTGATCGGGATGTTGCTAATGGAAGTTGGAGGGTCAGATTCCCCTAGGTCATTGTCCACAATGGGGATCCTCATCACTCTGATCCTCCTTGTTATTATTTCTTCTAATAAGGCAGGAGGATGAAGGGAAGGATCAGCAGAGAAAAGCTTCAAGTTTGAGGCCTCCTGGTTGGAAGAACCTTAATGTAGAGAAGTGGTGCAAGCAGCATGGAAGAATGGTGGAGGGATGGCAGGAGTTAAGATGTTTGACGCCATGAAAGGGATTGCAACCGGCTTGCAGGATTAGAGAACTAACATGCTGCGAGACTTGTAGAAGAGGCTGAAAAAAAAGCGAAGGGGGAGCTAGAGTAGTATGGGAGGAAGGGTATTTCACAGGACATGGTGGAGAGGGAGGCTATCCTTCGCTTTAAAGTGGATAGGTTAGAGGAGCAAATTGATATTTTTTGGAAGCAAAGAGCTCATGTGAACTGGCTAGCGAAGGGAGACAGAAATACTTCGTTCTTTTGCCAATGCTATAAGGAGAGGAGGGTGAATAGGATAGATAATCTGAAGGAGGATGGGGGTGGTTGGAGAGTGAAGTAGAGAAGCATGATTTTATTACTAACTATTTTAAGCAACTTTCAGGTCTAATGGTCTAACTGACACACAACAACTCCTCAATGCTAGCTGTGGCGCGAGGGTAACAAGAGAGATGAATGAAGCGTTGATCACTAAGTTCGAAGAAGAGGAGTTTGTTGCTGCTCTCAACTCTATCAGTGACTTAAAGGCCCTAGAGGACCAGATGGGATGCCGACCATTTTTTATAGGAGATTTTAGGATGCCTTCAACTTGGCGATGTTAGCTAAGCAAGGGTAGTGCACCATTCAGAACCCAAACTCTCTATGCACTAGAGTCCTGAAAGTGAAGTATTTTCCAAATTCAAGCTGCCTTGCTTCCTGCCCAAAGGATGGAATTTCACATACTTGGAGAAGTATTTTGAAAGGCATTGCTACACTGAAAGAGGGAATAATCTGGAGAACTAGAGACATGGATGGTATGGCTCCCAAAAAATCATACACACCGGCCGATCACCCCAAAGGGCAGTAATCTTCTACGCCAAGTTTCAGAACTCGTTGATCCGAGTACTGGAGATTGGGACGTTCAGCTTGTTCGTGACACATTCTTGGAGGAGGATGCGCCGATTATCCTGGCTATACCTCTCACTTCCGCTTGGGAGAATTCTTTGGCGTGGCACTATGATCCATGAGGTATGTATGTTCTCCGTCAGAAGTGCCTACAAAGTTTGTCGCCGGGGGATCATAAACAAGCAGAGTCGCAACGGGGGCACATCCAGTTCGAGTTCGATGAACCAGCCGGAAGATGGAGATTCCTAATAAGATAAAACATTTTTTTGTGGAGAGTAGCAGTCATCCCCTGAGGCATGGAGGTCGCGAGTTGCTGTGTAGTGTGCAACGAGGATGTGGAGGATGGGGTCCATTTCTATTTCAAATGTCCTGCACCAAAGCAATTTTGGGCCGAGCTAGGAGTGGCAGAATACCGAGAACAGTTGGCAATCTCCACGTGAAGCGATCTGTTTTATCCTAGGCCTGAGGTAGGATATCCAATGCAAAATGGCCATTGGCATGTGTTCATGGTGGGCTGAGAGAAACATCTATCATAGAAGAGGGGAAGAAAAGACCAGTTTCTATCATTGCTAGATCGGTGGAATGTATGCCGCGGAGGTTACCGAGCTAATGAAAAAGGAACCTAGGATGGGGATCGGGGAAGTGCAAGTGTATCCTAAGCAAGGTTTTCATTATCGGAAATTATCGAAGGTCATGGATAAATAGGATAAACAGGATATATCGGATCAAATTCAAAAAAAACAATTTGTTTTGAAAAATAAGCCAGATCCTGGTTATATCATAAAGATCAACTGGATGACACTGTTATCATAAATATCGGACCAAATTCAAATAGTGCTGCATCCTTCTCTTGGGACGACTTCGACTTCTTGGATTCAAATGACACTGTTAGTACCTCTGATGGGCGCACGTAGGGTGGTGGCGGTGGTGGTGCCGTTGGAGAAGCCGTTATCCCCGTGGTCAGACTCCAGAGCTCATCAGCCTTCCGAGGCTGAGGAGTAGCCACACGAAACCAGCTGCCCATCGTTCGCACACAGCACAACAACCGAAGCAGGCATGCGACACGAGGTTGACGAGCCCGGTGATGACTATCGACATGAGCGACGCAGTGCCGTTGAAGCCCAGCGTCTTGAACAACACCGGTGCGTAGAACATGATCACGTTGATGTTGAGTTGTGATCTAAATTCAGTTATGTACAAGATAAAGGCTAACTTCTGACGGAGCGAAGCGAGGCCCATCGCCGGGAGGCTTGGGCCAAAGCGAAGCGGGGACGCCTGGGTGGTGCGGGGGGGGGGGTGGAGCCCCCTGACGTATAGATCATCACCTATTAGGGTTTCACGATGGCATCGATGAAGT